TAAGTAGAGTGTGTGAAATGATTGATGTGAGAGAGAAAAGAAAGGATAGGAATGCATTAATGAAGTGCCACGTGTCACTTGGTGATTGGTTTTGACTTAAGAACACTATTCACCTTTTTTGACTTTTGACCCAAATTGGTTAAATATCTAAAAATTTCACAAAAATCACCATTTTCTTTCACCTTGTGGCCGGCCCTCTCTCTTGCCAAGAAGGAAGAAAACTTCTTCAATCTTCAAGCTTTCCACTAGCTCAAATCATCCAAATCAATCACACCAACTAGTTTCCACTCCATACAATCTTTCCATTTAGTGTTAGTGGTGAGTTTGGTGAAGTTTTTGGAAGAGCTAAGGTGGTTTACAACTCCTCTTCTCTTGTTTCCTATGTAAGTGATGATTGAACATCCTCTTATATCTAATGATGCTTATTTTGTGCCTAATGGTGGCTTGAGTGATGGAATGTGTGATTTATTTCTTGATTTGAGTTGAATTGGTGAAGTTTTTATTTTTTTGAGGAATTTTCTGGTTTAATGTGATCATGGTGTTGTGGTTATTTATGATGGTTGGTAATAAGGGGTTATGACTCTAGTAGGTGTGAATGATTGATAATTGCAACCAATTGTGGGTTTGGATTGAATTGTGAAAAGTTAGGGTTTCAAAACCCCCTTTTCTGTCCGATTTTGGATCATATGGTTAGAGGCAGAATTGGCCTTTGCTTAAAACATGGATGTTGTAGGTATTGATGTGTTTGAGATGCCTGTAAAATTTCAGGTCATTTGGAGTAGTGTAGAATGAGATATGTCGTTTTTACTGTTGCTGTTCTGGGTGATCAGAATGTGCGAACTGCGATTGTAATCGTCTATTTTGACTGGAATTTCTTTGGATTTGGATGTTGGTGTCTTCTGATGAAATTTAGCTTGATGTCTTAGATATCATATGCCTTTGGAATCAATGCATTTGGACCTGTGTAGACTGAGTTGGACGAATTACAGAATTGTGTGATTTGGGAACCTGCAATTACGGTTCTGGTTTGGTATTCTGCATTTTTGACCTAGTTTTGCTAGGATTTGGACTGAGTGGCCTTCTACATTGTTGTAGCCCTGTCTTTTAGCTTCGAGATGGTGGGTCTTACACCCTCATCCGATAAGCGTAGAGTATTTGTGCCATTACCGCAAAAGGAGGACGAAAACTGTTTTTTTGTTGAGGTCAAGTTAGTGCATTGCTGAAATTTCTGGTTTGCAATAATGCTTGTATATGTTGATAAAACCCTATTTGGGTTGTGATTGGCATTGCTTTATGACTCGTTATCGAGTCTCATTGTACTTGTTTACGTGTTCTAGGGCGTGACGGTGGTTCACGACATTCTCTTGACGGAAGTGCTTGAAACAACACTTAATTGATAAGTGAGTATACTACTCACTTTAATGGTACAATGTGGCTTTGTTATATGTGAATTTGATGCCTTGAAGGCTTATTTGGCTATTGGAAGTGATTGAGGTGAGGGTGTACTTGACCGCCCTCACCCCTTTGTGATTCCATTCATGACTGTTTACCGTTTCACTGAAATACTGCACTTGCTATATGAGATATTGAATTCCATTCATGGAAAACTGATTTGGTGTCGTTTGGACGAATATCCAACGGCCTTACTGTATTACTGAGCTCAACCCCGTAGGTGGTCAATTGAATCGAGTCGGCGAGGGCTTGGTCGTGAAAATTGACATGCCACGGGGACTGTACTGGGGAATCTTGTAGTAATGAGACTCTTGGTTCCGGTATACTCGAGTATTACCAAAAGCTACTGATTGGAGTGCGGGCCCGGTTGGGGTATGTTTGGTGGAAGGAATGGGAGTGAAGTGGGTTCTACGGTTGGTACTCATAAACATTGACGGAGAGTCAATGAGATCGGATCAAGAATGTAAGCGTGGAAATGGGCTCTTGAGAGCCGTCCGTATCCTTTTACTGATTTTTTTCTTCCTTAATTGTGTACTGAAATGAAAGGTTATGCTATATGCTCTTTGTTGCTTATGTGGTAGTAACTCACTGAGCTTTAGCTCACTCCGTTCCATTTGTTTTCCTTACAGGAAAATGACTATTTTGAGAAAGGTTGTGCTAGTTGGTTGTCAAAGTTGAGCTCATGTAAATGAATATTTGAATAGCTCCTTGAGGGTGAAAATCCTAAGTGTTTTGTTTCAACCAATGGTTGGCTTGTAATTGGCTAATTGCACATGTATGAACTTGTTGGATAATTTGGTATACCGCTTTGGCTTGTAAATGTTAAATTTTGATGTATATATGTTGGATTGATGATTGGTTGAACTTCGGATTCTGATGTGGACGGTACTGTTCATCATCGGCTTCGATTTTTCGTTTTTTTTATTTGGTGATTTTGACTTGTTTACGCGCGTGGGTATGTTCCGGAACGTATTAAATCGACGTGAACTGATCCGTAGTCCTGGCGAGAGCTGGGCAGGCAGCCCGCTAACCCCTTTGGTTCGCCTTAGGGGAAAGTGGGGCTGTTACAATTGGTATCAGAGCACTTCGCGTGGTCTCTGCGCGGAGTGAGACTGGGCCAAGTGGTGTTGTGGTCCTAATTTCATGAATATGTCTAAGTGCTCGTTTGAGCATAAGTTATGAACCGGGCATGTGATAAGTGTACGAATCATTATCATGGGACTCGAGGAAGCTAGGGATGTATGTCGGGTAGGAATCTTTAATAAGGATGGTTTACTCTTGGGACCGGCCGGCTCGAGTTGTGAATTATCTTGGATGGGATTCTTGGGCCCGGATACGAACGAAATAAGAGCGCCTAGGTTAGAGGACTTGGGCGATTGGGGGACATACGTGATAGGCCTTAGGGATACATTATTCTCTTAAGATGAATGATATATTTTAAGTTGAAATATCAGTTAACTAACGAATTAATGTTTGTAGGTGTGGATCTATAGACTTTTGCACCACCTGATTGGTAAGTGTTGGAATTTGCTTTACTTGAACTACTTGGGACTGACCTCGAACTACCTGAGATTGATCTTGAGCTGCCTGAGACCGACTAGACTGAACTTCCTTGAGACGTGACCCTGTTAGGTGAGTGTGTTCATACGTACTCTTAATGGACCTAATTTCACCGAATATATGGTATGTGACCTGTAGGTGGACTTGAATTTGATGACTATTTACGAATGTGAATTGCTGGACAGAGGTTAGGCCAGCGGTTCTTACCTGTACTCATGATCCTTGAACTTGAACTTGTACTCTTATTTGTGTTCATGCTCCCTGAACTTGTAATCTTTGACCCTACTCTTGAACTTCTTCGTACTCATGTGGTTGTAGACCGGCTACTACGTTTCTGTAGCGGTTGAACTTAACCTCTCTGGTGGGGCATTGCCTGTTGTGTTGTCCAGCACCACCAGGGCCAACTTACTGAACTGAAAGCATAGCCGTTGTGCTAGCTTGTTATACCCTGACTGTCTTCCAAATATCTGGGACATTACGTCCGATTTCAAGCCTTTTGCCTGTTTTATCTGGTTACGCGATTAACTCCCTACTGGACCACTGGACCATGACTATTTGATAAGTGATTTACAAGATCATGAATTGTGATAAGTACGAGTAGAATGTTTCTTAGTAGTTGACTGACTTTGGGAAAAACAAATTGGACCTGGTGAATACGAGTTGGAGTAGATGGAATTCTACTGCTTGATTGGTTTCTGAGCGATATCTTGACCGGCTTTATATAGGAGTTAGAATGTCGAGGACGACATTCTTTTAAGGGGGAGAGAGTGTGAGAACCCGTATTTTCCCTTAATGTTTTCCTAGGGTTTTTTCCCTGTAATGGCATGTTTTCTGCATTTTCTGGCGTAGGAAATTTTCTTGGTGGATTTTATGGATAAATATAGTTTTTTATTTCAAAGTTACGCTTCTATTTTGAAGTCAACTACTCTTAAATAGCTAGTACTTAATTCATATAATGGAAGAAACTCGTAAAGAACTGGTATATTATGGACAATTTTTTTTGTTTACTTTAAAATATTTCATTTATATTAAATAATTCAAAAAATGCTAGTTTTCCTTTCGTAAAGATGTTTCTGTAACGGCTTTTGAATTTTATTTGCAAATATTTATGTATTTAACAAAAGTAAATGATTTATAATAAAATGTTCATACAAAACGTGGTACTTCATTCATGTAATACAGAAAAGCCATAAAGAGTTGGTACTTTATGGGATATTTCCTTTTTAAACTATTTTTGATTTATATTACGTAGATAACCTACTACTTTTTTTTTCATAAGAAATTATTGTACCATTTTTTGAATTTTACTTAAAAACATTTCTAACTGAAACAGCAGCCACAATAATGGCACAAAAATGGTGCCTTACTCCCTAATCCAGCTTTACTTCATGTATTACTCTCTAAGTTTGTGTTATTGTTGTTAGGCTTCATTAATCACTGTAGATGCCTTTTTCTTCAACTAAACGGTAATAATAAACCCCAACATCAGTAATAAATCCCAACTTCATACCATATTTTTGTAATTTTGGCCTTCATGATGTCAGCTAAGGGACCTAATAACTCAAAGGCAAGGGAGGTCAGTCAAATTTTGAGAATCTCAGGGGGTGCCAGTGAAAGTGTCAGAAATCTCAGGGGAGGTTTCTTAAATTATCCCTAATAAATATATTACAAATCACATCGTAATTGATAGTTATTAGCTAATTAAATATATTAGTACAAATGTATTAGTAAAGTTACTCGAACTAATTAATAATTTCTATTAGTAAATATGTATAATTATTAGTATAATTCATAATATTAATTATATTACATAAATTAATATACATATATAATACATATAACTAATAATACCATTGTTATTGGTGCACTGAAGAGATGCATAAGCATTGTGAGCAATGAAAATAGATGGGGAGAAACAGAAGTTACTATTCCTACACCTGAATGGAACGATAGGCAAAAGAAAAGGCGTTAGGCCTTACGCTCATTGGTTAGGATAGCAAGGAGAGGAACAAATAACCCATATCGTAAAAGTAGTTCATAGCAGCAGCGTAAGACACCAGTTTACAAAAGTTGGGCAACTGAAGCTGATTCCCAAGTAGCCACTTCGGAAAACGTCTATCCCACGAAGAGATTTTGCGCAACATACGCTTCCACTTAATTTCCTATTTACAAAAAAGGACCGTAACAAGTTTGGTTCGTCCAATAAACAATTTGTCAACTACTTACTCTCCTATTAACCAATGCAGTAGCACTATTTGCTACAGCAGTGCTTATGACGCAACCTTGACAATCATGCATCTGGTGATCCTTCTGTGCATGGCCCCTTCGGTGGAACTACAATGACTTACCCATGTAGACCTAGCAATCTTGAATACTCTTCACCCCCCGATACATAACAAAAGACAATCCCTCAACCCGGTGTTACTCTGTAACCTGTCTGTCGTTATGGCTGCTACTTCCATGCACAACCATACCATCTCTTTCAACCTCTGCATTTCACACCTAAAAGAATATATAATAGGATTTACACACGCAACAATAGTGAAATAAGAACAACAAAGCCATTTACCAACAGGTACTGCATCAGTACAATGACTGTTTACTACCTTTGAGTGGTTGTGGTCATAACAGCTTACAATGGCCCATGACACATTCAAACTTACATTATTTACACTTCAATGGTAACGGAATCAAATTTTTTAAACACCACCACAACCTGTACCCAGCATTCCCCGGATTCACGAATACCTTGTAGCCTTCTCATGCTCAAAACAAATTAATGCGAAGGAAAGATACAAACCGTTCCCCTTCTACAATTTCGTACTTGTTTCATGGAAAGACTACTCTTGCACCTATACTCACCAAAACCTGCCTTAGTTATTGCGTAACTGCAAACCGAAGCATCACAACAGTAGTGCCTCATCTTTCTCCTGGACTTCTTTGTTCGTCACCTGTGTCCCTTCCACCGCTACCGAATGGTTGTGGTACAAATGCTTGTCCTCTTCATTCGCCTAAGTCGCTCCAACCCGTACCAATTTCAAATGATTTTTCCAGCGAGTCATCCAAACAATTTTCCATATAATCATCATGAACTGCTGTGTTGTGCGAATTCTTTTTGTATGGGTATGTTCGTTGGTTGTGGCCTGCCTGCAATCTTCAACCCATATATCACATGTCAAATCATTTGTGACTGCAAGTAATCACGTCAACTAAGCATAATGCTAACATTACACCACTTCAACTTTCTTGCATTGCCAATAACTTTGTATACTTTGTATACACTTTTAATTATGTGTTTATTTGCTACTGTTGATAATAAGAACGAAAAATACCCACTTCTTCATTATTACCTTCACTGTCCACTTCATGTATTTTATCAATTAACTACTGTATAACTACGTTTGCAATTCCGATAGTACCTGCAATGACCACACTTTCTTTTCTTCTTTGCTTCTGCATGCTTGTGATCACCTTTAGACCGGGACACCCTGGGATCTAACAGCCCGAACGTTCTTCTACTTCTATCGTTCCTCACTCTTGAATCCATTGCAAATCCGTCTCCCCCATATCCCCTGTCAATCCACTTCTCCTTTAGGTCCACAGAATGCTTGTCAAACATCTGCTGCAGGTTATTAAACGCATCATCCATGTAGGAGGCATAGTAACACATAGTATTACAGCTGGACTTTAAAGTGCCATATCTGGCCATTTGTGTTAGCTGTTCGTCTACAACAAATGCTTTCATTCTATTATTAGTACAGTAAACTCCCTTTATCCACCGCTTCGAAATGCATGCTTCTGGGATCCTGTTCATTCCTACTACCACCATTACGCGAAACATGTGAGCACAAGGAATCCCCTTTGACTCGAATTTCATGCAAGAGCAGATTAGCTTCTTCATTGACCTATCATAATCCACCCTCCAACTTATTTCGTGTCCACCATATTTCGAGTAATAATATGTACGACTCCCTCCATCCTCGCTCCAACCCTCAGAAATTAGAAGTCCTTGCCTGTTCAAATGCTTCCTCAGCATGAAGAACACATTCCTTGTAAACACCTCCGCTGCGCCCCCCTCTAATTCGGGCAGGATTGTGGTTAAGACTGGTTTTGTGTTTTCGCTTGTGTGAACTGCTTTGCTCTCAGTATGTCGAAGCCATGCTATTGCCAAATCGAAACTTCTAACGAATTCATATAATCGCATTTTTTGAAGTACTCATTCAAAAAAGCATTCATTTTCTCACACGTTTGAGTACTTCTCATACCTGCAAAAAAATGACCGCGTAAATAGGCCTCTGCCCATAACCTTCTCCTACGGTACAACTTCTTCACCCACTCATTCTCTACCACCCCACATTCATTAACCAACCTAGCCCACCGATCCTCAAACTCAAGAGTGCTACACTTTCTCGTCATCAGGTTATACAACCTGTTATTAAACTCCTCGCAGCGAATATTACTCTGTACATTTCTATACAAGTGCCACGAACATAGCCTGTGACAAGCATCCGGGAGAAGATTCTTTATGGCTCTTCGCATTGCACTGTCCCTATCTGTCATCACTGCTACTGGCTTTCTACCTTTCATAGTCTCTACAAATGTACTTAGCACCCATTCATATGTTTCAATCCTCTCATCTGATAGCAGTGCACAGCCAAAAACAGTACTGTTCAAATGGTTGTTTACCCCTGCAAGTACAACTAGTGGCTTGTGGTATTTATTTGTTTTGTATGTTGTATCAAACACCAATACATCTCCAAATACACTAAAGTCCGCATGAGATTTAGAATCTGCCCAAAACAACCTTGTCAATCTTCCTTCATTATCTACATGATATTTATAAAAGAACATGTCATCGACATCCTTCTTTGCTGCCAAGAACCCAAGTGCCCCTTCTGCATCGCCATTAAAAATATCTTTTCTACGTTCCTCGTCCATTCGGTTATACAGATCCTTAATGCAAAATCCCACGTTACTATACCCTCCGGCTTTGATAACAAAATGTTTCATTATCTGGCATATTCTGGCCCCAACCAACTTTAGACTTTTTGCCTGCGCATATTCTGCATCGCTCACTTTTCTATGCGACCTAATGTGTTGCACACTTGTCGCTGATGCCAGCGGGTGATTGTGCTCCATAATAAAACGTGTCACCACATACTTTACCGATTCTATGTCATACTTCACGCGAAAGCAAGCCCCACACCCGGTTCTTGTGATTGGTTTTGCTTCTCTTTTCCGGTCTTCATAATTAAACCACTTTTCATTCCTATAACCTTCACAGCAACATACCCATTTTCTAAATCTTGAAATGCCATCTGCATCTCGTTTGGCATTACTTTTACGAATCCCAAATCCGCTTAGTTTCGCATACAAATTATAGAATTCCCCAGCTTCTTTTTCCGTGTCAAATGTTAATTTCATTACGTCATCCACGCCTATTGCGCCCACCAATTCATCTGCCTCCTCATCTTCGTGTCCTCCTATTGAACCACCACTTTCTTCAATGAATGTGTCTCGGTCACACTCAGGTTCTTGGTTAAGGTCAAATGACCTTAACCTGCCGCAATCATCCATCCCCATTTTTCTGTTCTCTGTTTCCTGCACCATGTCATGAGTTTTAAGCGCCCCATCCTGCCCCATAGTTACAACCCCTGTGTGGTTGTTCAATGTTTTTTCTAACCATGGTCGCTTAACATTTTTATTTCAGCCTCCCCATATGCTTTCGTTTGTAACATAAATACTGATCGTCTACTAATGGAACAAAACATATATACACGATCATTTCAGTTAACAAACCATACTTTACCTCACAACTTTCACAAAATGCAGACGATAAACATTACTCTAACATTCATATACACAGTTTTATAAGTGTGGCTGATGCAATTATATCAACCTTTAGCACAAAATACCACTATCGACATGCATTTTCATTAACACCCACAAACTCAACCTCTACTGTGTGTTTCTTTAATTCTTTTCACATAAGCATGCGTAATGCAGTATGGGGGCCATTATCGATGTCCACACGGCCATCCAAATCACTCTGTTTTAAGACTTTAGTCCTGTTACAACGTCTTCTTCACGTCTTCACTCATTTCTGCTTAATTTTCTTTACACAATTTAATACAAATTAGAGGACCAACATTTCCTACGTACATACACAAAGCTTGGTGCACAAATAAACTGCGATAATTTTTCGGTTTCGTTTCATCTTTATTCGAAGACGCAGGGTCTTACACCCCGTATTTCGTATTCCTTATTCCTCTATCATTGCCTCTTACAAGAACTGTAGAAATCACCTTACTAGACGTACAAATGTTTTACTCATTATTTTACTCCATTTTTCAAAGTTATGGACAAAAGTACTCACCTTTGATTTCTCTGCTTCTGTTCCACGCCGCTGCATTCTGTCACCACAGCTTCGGAAGGGCCTTCCTTAGATATATCTACCGTCACCGCCTGAGCCTGAATTTACGCCAGTAGACACCACCTCTTTACCAAATTTTTGCCTTCGATTCCGACCTCACCACCTGTCTTCAAACACATGCATCACTGCTGGCCCCAACGTGGCTGTGTGTTTAGTACCTAATATGTTTCCTCTTCAGTGGCCCCAGCATGGCTTTGTTTAATACTGCTTACGCTTCGTCTTTGATGTTTTATACAACAAAACCGACACCGGCGTGTTAATTTTTATGGTTTCCGATAAATAATTTTGTATTCAAGGAAATTGGGTTCTTCTGACTGTCTGATGGACGAAAGCCGTAAAGAGCTGGTCGTTTATAAGACAACCGTTTTAACTAAATTTTATCCCATAACCCAACATTTGTATTTAAGGCACGTTGGGTACTCTGTCACTGTAATGGTTGAAAGGCACAAAGAGCTGGTCTTTTACTCACCAACGGGTTTAATTTCATTTTATCCGATAAATCAGTCTGTCTTTATGGCACCTTGGGTATTATGTTGTTGTAATGGAAGAAAGCCAAGGGAGCTGAAACTTTTAAACTGAGACACCCGTTTGAATATAATAATGGTCCTCAAAATGGATTTAATCTTTAGTTGTAGTGCAGGAAAGCCATAAAGAGTTGGCTCTTTATTCAAAAATACATTTGAATATGATATTGTGCGATCGCTAACATTTGTATTCAATGAAAATGGATACTCCGTTGTTATTATGGATGAAAGAGTTGAAAATTGGGGTTGTTTTAATAAAGTTAACGGGTTTATTTTTACTCCTTAGCCTATTATATTTATGTTAATTCCGTTTCACCCCAATGCATTTCCAGCTTGTGCAGTACGTTACATTTCCAATGTCCAAATCGCGGTTATAGGTCATCACTTCCTTTTCTAGAATTATTCCCTTTCGTCGTCCGTACTTGTTAGGTTGCAACGTGGAGGCTTCTTTGCCATATTATTTGCTTTCCACACCTGTCTTCGAACTTTGTGAATACACTACAGAAATTACCTTCAAATTATGACTAATGCAATGAACAAATGACTTAATTTTTTTCTATGGACAAAACTATGTAAAACCAACTCAGTTGTAAAGGTAGCAGAGTCAATGATGTAGGCACTGGATCCCAAATAACTAACATGAAGGTAACTAATGTTTCTACAAGTTTAGAAGACAATATGAAATGGTCAAAACCTCGATGGCAGTTTCTAAAATTATCCCAATAATATAAGGAAAGGGAATATTGACCCAAAAAAATCCTTTTGAAGTTGTGGCTTATATCACATGAAATACTTGTGTCACGGTTGCATAACATAGTTGTATCACCGTCCAATAGGCCCCGATTGTATCTCAACTTCTAGCAGACCTGGCTATGCTCTAATTTCTGCAGTTTCATGGAAAATTTGAGGTTAATTAATTACACTTTGCCCCTCTAAATTGGGTCTTAGAAACAGTTTGCCCTCCAACTACTTTAAATATGTACACTTCAGCACCTACTATGATCAATCAAAGAATAGAGATAATCTTTTGTTTAGAAATTTTTATGATAATGACATTAAAGTCCACCGATAATGGCTGTATGAACAATATGTTACCCTTTACATGAGTACATAAAGTACTTACTAGATGGAGAAATAACATGCTGAAGTGACATGTATGCAAAGCGCTTCTCTCTCTAAATTATCAAGTTAGGTGGATGCAGCAATATATGATCAGAAGATGCTGAGAGAAAAGTCTTGAATATTCGCATATGACCAAACCACCTTAAGCTATGTTTTCTCTTTTTTCAGATACCGTTTCAATACGTAAACCTACCTTTATAATGAGAATAAATGTCAACGCATGCGACAGATTGATGCATAGATTTTAGAGTTTCATGCAGTGGTGGAGCTAGGATAACTTTCCAGTGATGGCACAAATGATAGAAAAATATTTTAATTTTGCTTGAAGTACTTAATACAATAATAATATTTACAAATCAAATAGCATATGCATTCAATAAATATGCAAAACATGCAAGGAACCTCTTAATGCGCTATACTGAAAAGACAAAATCTTTTAGCATAACAAATCCATTCGTTGGCTACGAATCCTTAAAATGTAGCTAGTATTAGTACTACATTCATAATAAAGGGATGTATTATGTTTGTTATTATTATTTTTAAAATATTTTCTTGTAAATGATGAGATTTGAGAAATCAGGAGGGATTAGAGGGATTAGAAGCCAGAGCCTCCTCTAAGTTCTAGGGGTATTTTATTTGTTATTTATTTTTTCACTGTCTATAACTATAGAATTACTTGCAAATATACGAGTTGATTTTTACAATTACTAGGAATAAAAACAAAATTTTTGTTAAACTTAATACCTTAAATGAACAAGTTCATTTGGTCAAAGGGGGCTCGGTTGCATATGAGTGGGGTTAAAAAACATTCTTTGAACCTTTTCATATACAAAACTAACTTGTTGCTTTGGCCAATAGGGACACATGGTATTCGTAGGTATGCCCTAAGGATTAGGATTTTTTTTTATACAATTTAATTATTTATATTTATTGAATGACATTTGTCTTATTAATTATCTCGATATTTCAATTAGTATAAACGATACATACATTAATGTAATAATAAGAGAAAAATGCAGTTTTGGTACCCAAACTTTGACGCACGAGCAGTTTTAGTTCCAAATTTTGGACCAAAACAAATTTGGTACCCAAATTTTCAAATTTTGAGCACATTAAATACCCTGAACGATTTTTTCCCAAATTGCTACCGGAAAAAGCCACGTGTCCGGGCACAATTGTATGAACAAAGCCCAAAAAAAATTTCAAGTGCCATTCTAATACTAACTATTAAATTTAAGGACTAATAGCGTAATAAAGTAAAAATCCAAGGACTAAAATAAAGAAGAAAACGATGCTGCACTGGAACATGTAGATTCTTCACTTGCAGTGCACATCGTTTTCACTACTACTTTTTTGTTAATGGAACAGATACCGAAGAGGAGAAAACAGAGCTCGTTAATTAAAGACTTTCTCTAGCTAAAGATGAAGACTTTTACCAGTATTAGTAATATTTTCTTTTGCATTTACTGCTGTTTCTTTACTTCTTTCTTCACCACAGCTTCCTCCTCCTCCTCCACCACCACCACCACCACCACCACTAGCCACCACTACGGCCACCGTATCCTCCATCAGCCATTGTTCCCTGTTAGCCATTCTCTTCCACCAGCTCCTCCACCAACCACCCTACCTGAACCTCCTTTCCCCTCCCCACAGTCTCAACCTCAGCTCCAACCAAAGTACACTTTCACCTCCCACTAATCCTCAATCCGAAAACAACCCATTTTTCCCTTCTATTTGGTCTCCTCCGCCAGCTTCTTCGCCGCCCTCCCCTTCGCTTTGTCAACTTTTCCTGCCAATATCTCCTCCCTCATCCTCCCCCATTCTTCCTCCTCCTCTAATAACAGGCCCATTTCTCACAAACTGATAGCTGTCATTGTCTCGGTATCCCTTGTCTCCACCGTCTTCATCGCCGGCATTGCCACCTTTATCCTCCTCCACCACCACCACCGACGCCTCCGCTACTACCACCAACACCAATGGGCTTTCTCCAAGACAGACAATCTTCGCCTTTTCTCGCCCAACGCCACTCTTTCCGACAGCACCACCACAAAAAACCCACTTCCAGGAACACCTCTGCCGCCACAACTACCCCGCCACACTCTTTCCTCTAACAGCTCAGAATTTCTCTACCTGGGAGCTCTAGTAAGCTCCAGAGATGTTAAAAATGAGGCATCTAATGTTCCTCAGAGCTTAGAAGATCACCATAATACTGTCCCTTCAGCTTCAGTTTTAGCTTCACTTCAGTATCAATGGCTAGGCTCGCCGGAGCTCCAACCGCTGCCGCCGCTGCCATGTCAACAGCAGCAGCACCACCATTTCCACCAAGACTACAGAAATGGTGCTGCAAGCAACATGGGTTCCGACGAGGATGATGAATTCTTCTCCCAAAGAGGATCCACTGGGGAAAAGTATAGTCCTGTCCACAGCAGATCAGGTGAAAATCTCCCTAGCCCAAGTTCAAATTCACTTGTGTTCCATTTTGGAGCAATTTCTGCAGCAAGTTCAACTCCAGTAGAACCACCTCTGACAATCAAAACGGAACAAATTCTAAAGTAGAAGTGAAA